AATGTGCGCAAATTGTCATGGGCAGTGGCTTCACATTGAGCCTTTTCAAGTTCCATGATATATATATATATATATATATATATATATATATATATATATATATATATATATATATATATATATATATATATATATATATATATATATATATATATATATATATATATATATATATATATATATATATAGCATATATATATATATATATATATATATATATATATATATATATATATATATATATATATATATATATATATATATATATATATATATATATATATATATATATATATATATATATATATATATATATATATATATATATATATATGAATTAAACGACCCGTTTTCGAGGAGTAGCCGTTCTCCTCCAGCCACTGGACTATGACGTCATACTTTGTGTCCATCCAGGCGACGTTGTTCTTGACCTTCTCTTCTGCCTGCTGGACGCTCCTCTGGTTCCCCTCCAAGTTCACCGTCCTCCTCCTCAAAAACGACTGGACCTGAAGAGATGTGATTTGATTCTTGGTTAAAAAAAACATTAATGTGATTTAATTCCCACAGTTGAAGCTACGGGATTTTGAAATGAAATTATGCATTTATTACTAGGTATAGGTGTCAGAAATGTTTATCCTACGTGATCTAGTTAATACTTGATTGCATTGCTCTATACACAGAATAACGACCTTACCCTTTTCAGTTCCTGTTTCGTATTGAATGCTTGTGTTAGCCTTTTCATGACGTCACCTCTCCGACTCTTCTTGCTGTGAAATGAAAGTGAAAAAATCTAGTATGCGAAGGAACCTACAGGTTGGCATTCCTTGTCATTGCCTTTGTCTATGTTTTATATTATATTTGTTTATATTTGCTTTGATAAAATATATGCTCACACTGTATTTTTGTGATAGAAGAAGACTTACAAAGTATAAATATTGTTCCAGTTATGTGTGAGGTAGTCCCACACCATGGGGCGTCCCACGTCATTGCTACTCACACCTCTTAACACATAAATAACGTCTTGCAGTCTTATGCCATTGCTCCTGTTCGTAGCCATCTCGAGGTATCTGGAAAAGCATGTAGAAATTAACTATGGAAATATACATATCACATGCGCATCCTCTCCTCTCCTTTCTGCCTCCGTCTCTCTCTCTCTCGACCCCCCCCCCCCCTTTCTTATTTTTTGAACATCCAAACAGTCCCTGAGACACAAAACTGTACACCCTGGGGTTCGATGCAATAGCCGACGACCACCTGTCCCATTGCTGCTTGGCTCTCGACCTTCGTTCGTTTCGTCCCTCCTTCTCTTCGTTGTTTCGAGGAGCAACCGTTCTCGTAACCGTAGAACGTAGTAATGCTGCTCCACGAGACCTTCCCTTCCACTTGGCCAAGGACTATATCGCCAGAGATTCAAGGTGGTCCAAAGTGGTCTCCTTCCACGAGAAGAAAGCCAATATCGGTTTCAGTTCAGCAGTTCTGGATTTAGCCGTGGTCTTGGCGCCCCTTGGCCATTGTGCAATCCACAAGTGCAGCACCATACCCTTGTCTTCCCCCGACACTCGCCCTGCCTCTCCCACCCGCCACCCTCTCTCACACACAGGCAAGACGACGTACCTAGATAGGATCCAAGTCTGCTTCGAGCAGGACATAGATCTGAGAAGAAGCCTTTTCTCGGTAGCGACGCTGGAAGTAACGTACTGGTCCCACGCGAAGTCCCACTCGGCCTCCCCGCCCTCGGCGATGGCGCGACAGAACACCACAGGTTTAAGGCTTGGCGAAATGATGCTGAAATTTTTATACTGATAAATCTGGATATCATTATATTCCTTTGGGTAGAGTATCTAGTCCTTATTAATTTGGTATGACAGAAGGTTTGATAGTAGTAATTATAATGATAATTAAAAAGTAGAGTAACTTACTGTTACAACCACTAATGAAGGTAAAATTATCGATAATGATAATCCCGAGATCAATAATGACAACATAACAATCATACTGATCCAAAAAAGTGTAGACACTGTCCCGATACGACATACACCGCTACACCTACCTCGAATTGTCCGGCTGTGACATCCAGTGCCTGTAGAGAGTGAGCGCTTTGTTGAGGCAGTCCTTGTGGCCCAGTCTGCAAGCCCATGTCACGGCTATTTTCCTCTTTTTTTGCTCCAAGAAAGAGTCCTCGATGTTGTTGTCGAACCAACGGACTCGTAGAGCGGCAACACCAAAATCCAGGAGGTAACGCTGGAAAGAAAAGAATGTTCATATACGCGTATGTATGTGTATACATACATTACATATATATATTATACATATATAATTATTTATATTTATATAGATATAGATATTACATACATATATGTATATATCATTTATATTCTGGTAAATAAATGATCAAACAATTCGGCATATCGGTTGCGGTTTCATCGCAGGCAAGTAAAACTCCGTGTGAGCCTCCGAGCCTCACCTTGAGAGCGCCGAATCCACTTCTGCGTCTGAACATACTCTCTATGTAAACGAATTTCCTGGCGCCTGTAGCCCAAGGCAGATATTCTCCTTCATTTCGCAGATACGGTAAAACGTCCAGGGCGAGCTTGTAGCTGAGATGACCTGAATGGAAGGTATCCATTTTTGCTAATCAAAAATTACGAAATCATAAAATGATTTCATTACTAATTTTGGAACACGCATAATTTTAACTCATCAAAAATACACGTTCACTCCCTTTACGTTAGTGTATGAAAATATGACGTTCTTGAGTAATACAGACAAGAAAATCATAGTAACTCTTGAATATCCATATATGCATAGAAAAACAGCTATAAATTCCTTAGTAGAAGAAAGAAATACTAAAAAAGATAAAGATTACTGTACCAGCCCTAGCAAGGTTCATGGCATCATCGACAATCTGCCCTCTGTTGATGGGGCAAATAACCTGGTGGTCCTTCTTCAGCTGCTGGATGATAAGATTCCAGTTGTGGTCGTCGTAGTTGACTCGGTAGTAGGCCGCCTGCTGCAGGTTGAAGATGACCACTGGTCCTTCGGGGGAAGAGAAGAGACGGTGACGTGATCCTCAGAGTCCTTCATCCATAAACTGGCTTGAGTCTGGCTGAAGTTGGCCTCGCTCTGGGTCGTGAAGGTCAGAGGCACCCACCACTTGTAATCCGTGGTGCTGGAAGAGTTTGCGCTCCCTTCTAAGAGGAACCGCTCCTGGAAATTAAGGCGGGGTATATATAGGGCCAAATGATATGTTTACTGAATATGTTCCTCCTTCCATCAAGTCATTAAGTACAAACTCACCTGTGTCAAAGTAGCAGAGGTTCCGTCGGGGCTCCTTGTCACCTTCACGACGGGGTATCCCATCTGCAGCGTCCACGTGTCCATGATCATCTTCACAGTCACGTCCTGGGGTAGAATGCCGTCCTCGTGAGCCGCCAGAGTCAGATGCTTCCACAGGTCGTCTTGCACAGAACTATTGTATGTGCTACATGAAATGGACATATTTCAGGATAATATATAGAGCGAGACTTGAGAATTGCAAAGTAGCACATATAAATTTCAAACCTTTAAGCTGAGTCATTATTACATCCAATTAGTATTACATGTCACAAGGTACACTTATATTAGCATATTTACAATGCTTTTAGATAGTTGTTCAATCCCTTCCTAAAGGTCGGCTCTGTGAGGTAGTGGGTCATCATCCGGATGATAGACGCTCCTAGATCATTGTAGAAAGAAAATATAAAAGATAAGAAATGAGATGGACAAAGAAATACCATAAAAACCAAAACAATGAAGAAAAAATACCGACCTTTATTGTATGATATCTCATCAAAGACTTCGAATATTTCGTCCGGGTTTGAGACGGGAATGTTGATCCTGTGGGAGGACTCCAGGCTGTCTAGATTGAACACACGATGGACTATTTCAACGACGATTTCTTCCATTGCCTTCCACGTTGGTTCCACCTTTTGAACATAAGCAAAATAAGTTTATATGTTTTGCATTTGATTTTTTTATTTTACATATTATTATTCATTATATCATGACTCAAGTAACTACATGATCTACTCCAAGGTAACTTATATAAGTAGCGAATCCCTCGTTGAGCCACAAGTCGTCCCACCACTTAGGCGTCACCAGATTGCCAAACCACTGGTGAGCCAACTCATGAGATACAATTTTTGCAATAACTGCCTTATCGGCAGGGGTTGAAACTTGTGGGTCGTACAACAAGAGGCTTTCTCTGTTAAATGTGAGAGTTGAATTAATAGTAAGAACTCTGTCATAGCTAGAAATAGAGTTGTGCATGCTGTGAGCAATAAGGTTACATGAGATTTATTTAATAGAGCGATATACAGCCTTCAGAGTCAGCCAATTCTACAACTATGGCTTCTTTTTGTCTTAAACTTCACACACAACCCTTATATCCTTATTCTCGACCCTTTCTCTGTATACAAATATATCACTGATCCCGGCTCCTGAGTAAAATGGGTTATAATATTTAAAACAATACATGATGGTGCTGTAATACCAGACCTCTGTGCTAATGTCACTGACTTACCTGAAAGTTATTAGACCCCAGTTCTCCATACCTCCAAAAGAGAGGTCGGTTAATGCAATCATGTCCATCTTCGGGGGGATAAGATAGGTTGAAATAATCTTCAAAGAAACACAAGATCTTGGGACCTATCTCATTTGCATATTCTGCTTGATCTATGGTCTCTTGTCGTGCCCACTGCCAGAGAATTTTTCTGGTTAGAATTTAAGCACAGTCACCCCTGATCATGCCTTTTTTGCACATGCTCACGGTCATGCCTAATGAAAACTAATTATAATTCTTTATAATATATCAGTAGAGTGATAAATCTGACAACAATTATGTTTTTTTCACAAGAACATATGCATGAAAGGTATTCGCTTTCTATCTGTCTTGCTCACTCACTCAGAAACACAAATTAACACTGATGAACCTAGCTTCGATAAAATGTCATTACCTCGAAAATCTACACGGTCATTCTCGGTCGAGTTGATATGAACGTAGTCGGACACAACGAAGGCAACCAGGTAAGTGGACATAGGGACACTCTTCTCGTAACGATCCCACATCCATCCCTCCTGTCCTTCACTGTTGGATTACAAATTCAGTTTAATCAAAAGATGCATTGGAAGGTATGAAGACATATATCTAAAGTATAGAATAACATTTGTATTATCATGAAGTGCTACTCACACAGGTACCGTTTCGGCAATGGGCATGTTGGAGAGGGTCGTCATCCAAGATTCCCTTGCGAGGTGAATTTCAAAGGTTGCCTTCAGTGCGGGCTCGTCGAAGCAAGGGAAGGCTTTGCGGGCGTCGGTGGGCTGGAACTGGGTCGCAGCCGCATTTCTGGACAGAGATTATAGCGATAATATGCAAATAGCCTTTAGTATACTATGAAATGGGTACAGTTACAGACAACGAAGGGATATTCACCTGATGTTACCATCAACATCCTTGTGGGTAGCTCTGTAGAAGCCACGCAGCATATCATTAAGATAACCAAGGAACTCCATGGACAGGATGTACCTTTTTCCCTTCTGGAGCTCTTTCCTCAAATGGGCAATGTAAAAGTGACGACTATGGTCATACTCGTGTTTCTTGATCCTCAAGCCTCGGGATGTTGTTTGATCTGAAACCTAAACAAAAAATAATTTTGAAACTCCTGTGTACTATCCCAAAGCTTGTGGAACGAAGAAACCTGCTTCAGTTGTTAAACATTGTCTTGTTCAAATGAGCTACATCTACGTTATGTATCAATATTACCCAATACTATATTGAAACTTATCCCTACCTTTACGGTGTCATTTTTAGTGATGATATCCGATATGTGGAGAGTGATGTTGGAAGTGGGTTCCAGAACCTCCATCTCCACCTCCATGTAGCCGACGATGCTGAAGTTGCCATTGATGAAGGGTTGAAGTTTGACCACATAATGGAGCGGCTTAATGGATCGAGGTAGCTGTACGTCCAAGTCTACAGGTTCCAATGATCTAGATGCCTCAGTCTGTCAAAAATAGACATAAGCAGATATGGTTTCATTTGCTAAGTGAAAAACGCCAGCGTTTCTAAGAAATAAACATCATTTAAGGAAATATTCCATAATACATGCCCCACGTAGACATACAAAGTTCTTGTTTATTATGTTAGCGCGTCAGACATTCCATCAGTCGAGGTAAAATATAAAACCCAATAATACTCTCTGTGTGAAAAAGGGCAGATTTCCTGAATGTCTAAATGAGACCTTTTATCTACCTTTCTTCCTAAGATTCAGCAATGAAAGCAATACTGCTATGCTGCCTTGCTTCCTCTACGTTCTCAAGGCGATTACATTCACGACCTAAATAAAGCTTTGAAGTAAGACTAGGCGATATTTTCATTAACTACATGTGTTGAGGTTTTGTAACCAAAGGGCTGAAATACCTTCCCATATAGAAAACTACTTAATATATATATATATAATATATATATATATATATATATATATATATATATATATATATATATATATATATATATATATATATATATATATATATTAGATAGATATATATTTTTTTTCAGTCATTCTCTCAAAAACAAGAACGTTAGTGTCGATGTTACCTATGGAAACAAAAAAATGCGGAATAGCAGACACTATTTCCTAGACAGGTTAGCTAGCTCTCAGTTTGTTTTTTGATTTTCAGCTTGGATATCACTTTAAATGCCAATGAATAATTTCAAAGCGTACTGCTAATTCATAAAAAGTCAGTTTTGTTGACAAAACATCATTCACTCACTATTTACTAGTCACGCTTCATGTACTCTCTCTATCATACAGTCCTCATCAAATGTATGTGGATCTTGCTTTCCCACCCCGGATGTCTATGAGAATTTTATTTGAAGAATTTTACATTTTAATACTTGACAGTGTTGCCTTTCTTCATCTTTACACTCTGAAGACATCTAGAAAGTGACAGAGCAGGGTTCTTGGGTGTATAAAGTGCACCTTGGGCACTGAAATGGCATCGTTCCCCTGTATGAGGTTTCAATAGGATTCAGTTCCAGGCAATTTTCCGACCAATCCTTTATAAAAATATACCATGTAGTCTTCAAGTCACTAGGTCTCAGATTTTGCTTGTGTGGCTGGAGTATCATCTTGCTGCAAAATGCTGGCCTTGGTAGCTTCATCTAACCATATCACTGAGAGCGTCACCTCGCTTCAGATAGGATATTTTATGGAAAAGGCAATCCTGCGATCTTTCTGTGCCTTTGATAGAAGAGGTTTCATCCTTGATACAAGTCAGATGTAACTTAACTCTGGCGCATGACATGGTGTGCATGTCTGGGTTGCTCTCCCTCAGAGATCTTACTGTTGTTCGTGGATTTGACCCTAAGGTACACTTTCTGATGTTCAAAGCCCTCGAGAAGTCATCCTTGGGCACCTTGTCCTAGTTTTCAATGGTAGGGTCTCCAGCCCTCCT